GACAAAACTTAAGGGAAGGGTAGACAATTCAACAATAATAGGCTTCAATACCAATTCTCAATATTGGATAGAAAAACCTAAACAAAAGATCCAGGAAGTAGAATATTTGAACAATACTATAAATCAAACATATTTAACGCTTATAGAATATCCCCCCCAACAATAGCAGAGTACATACTTTTCTTAGTGGACATAATGCATCCTTCAAGATAGACAGTATATTATACCAAAAAAAGGTATTAATAAATTTAAAAGGATGGAAATCATACAATATATGTTCTCTGACCAAAATGGAATGGAATTGAAAATTAAGAAAATTTGGGAAATCAAACATGTAGAAATTAAACACACAGCCCTACATAACCAATAGGTAAAAGATGAAATCACAAGAATATTATAAAACACATTTAGAGCTATAAAAATAATAATGAACTGTTATAGTTTGTATCTAAATGACCCCCCCAAAGCGTCATGGACTCATAGATAGTGCTTCAGGAAGGTGATTGGATCTTGGAGGCATGATAATTATCACTGGATTAATTCACTGATGAGTTTATAGCTAAATTTGATGTTAGGAAGAAGAGCCTAGTCAAAGAAGGTAGGTCACTGGAAGCATGATCTGGAAGGCATGTCTCCCTCCCCTGCTTCTCCCTTCCCTCTCTTGGCTTCCCAGCTGCCATACCATGAAATCACTTCTTCACCATGCACCTTTGCCATAATGTCCTTCTGTGGAGGTAACTCCTACAGACTGAAACCTCTACAAACTGTGGAAAATAAACCGTTCTGAGCACAGGGACCTTAAGGACCTCCCACTAGGCTTCAGCTCTTAAATGTTCCCCCAATGTCATCACATTGAGGACCAAGTTTCCAACACATGCACCCTTGGGAGACAAAGCTCATCTAAACCATAGCGTTAACTAAATAAAAAGACATCCTGGGCCCATGAATTGGAGTTGTGGTAAGATGACAACATTACTTAAACTTATCTTTAGATTCAATATAGTCTCCACCAAAATTCTGGCTTCTGCTTCAGCAAAATAGACAAGCTGGTTGTAAAATGAATATGAAAATAAAAGGGACTCAGAGTAGCCAAGACAATCTCGAAAAGAGAATAACAAAGTTGGAGTACTCGTTTTTCCCAATTTTAAAACTCACTATGAAATTATAATAGCTTTAAATGTTCATTATTAGTTGAGGACAAACATAAATATCAATGGAATAAAATTTAGAGTCCAGAACTAAATGTAAACATCTCTGGTCTATCGATGTTTTTAAAGTTTCCATAGCAATCCACTGAAGAAAACAATAAGCGTTTTAATAAATTGTGCTGAGACAACTAGATATCCACATGCAAAAAAGGGAATCTGCTCTTCTACCTCACACTGTAGAAGAAAATCAGCTGGAAACAAATCAGAGACCTAAACATAAGAGCTAAAACTGCAGATAAATCTTTGTGACTTTGGACTAAGTAATGTGTTCTTAGATACTGCACCTTGTGTACAAGTACCCTTTCCCAAAACAAATATATACAAACTTGACTTCATCAAAATTTAAAACTTTTTGCTTTAAAGTGAGAGGATAACCCATAGGAGAAAAAAAAAACTGAAACCATATATTTATATAAAAAAAAATTTAGTAAATAAAACTTTTCAACAAAGAAAATTCCAGACCCAGGAAGCTATGCTTGTAAATTATTCCAAACATTTAAATAAGAATAACACCAATTCTAAGTGATCACTTACAAAAACAAAAGCAGAAACAATTTTATGAGAAACTAACACCAAAATAAAAACATTAAAAGCACAAACCAATGCTCTCCTCAAACATAAACCCAAAAAAATCCATCAACAAAGTTATCAGCAAGCATCTTTTTGATATTTACAACTTATTTATTTGTTTGATATAATAGTGTGCACATAGTATATATTATATGTTATATATTATATATACATATATTACTTATATATTGTATATAGAGAAAACACATGACAATAAAATAAAGTTTATCCTGAAAATGCAAAGTTGTTTCAACATTTGAAAATCAATTAAAGCGTTTCACCATATCACAAACTAAAGAACAATACATGACCATATCAATAAATGAAGAAAAAGACATTTCAAAAATTCAATATCTATCAGCAATAAATACAAAACAAATCAAAAATTCTCAGCAAATTGGAAATAGAAAGCAATGCTCTTCACCTGACAAAATAAAACTGCTTAAAAAATGTACAGTTAAAATCATGTTGAAAGGCTATATCACTTACTGATACATAATAAATCACTTAGTGGCTTAATATAACAATTTTTTTCACAGTTTCTATGTTTCAGGAATTTGTAAGTAGCTTAGCTGGATGGTTCTTATGCATGTTCTGTCATCTGAAGGTTTTAACTGGGTAGATGATCCAGTTACAACCTCACATGCATGGCTATTGTCAGGATGCCAGCTCCTTGCTCTGTAGACCTCTTACATGCCTGTTTGAGCATCCTCTCAAGTCAGGTAGCTGCCTGTAAAGCAAGTGACCTGAGAGAGAATTCAAGGAAGATGCCACAAGACTTTATATATTCTAACTAGATGTCACCTACCATTTCCTCTTCCACATTCTATTTGTCAGAAGCATATCACTACACAGAGTCCACACATAAGGGAAGGGGATTTTGACTTAAGTGAGAAGATACAGAATGAAGTCATTGTGACCTTGAGACTTTGGGTTAGGCAAAATGTTCTTAGATATGAACCACAGGCACAATTCATAGACTTTTTAAAATGATGAACCAGGTTTCATAAAAACTTAAAAATTGTGGTATGAAAAATACTGCTGTAGAAGTGGAAAATAATCTAAAAATTGGGGGCACATCTTGCAAATGTTTATCCAATAATAATCTTGCATCCACAGCATGTAAAGAACTCTCGGCACCCAACAATAATAAAGCAAGCAACACACCAAAAATTTAGCAACTTTTCTATAAACACTTCAACAAAAGTGATAAACGGAAAACAAGATCGGGAAAATATGCCATCAATCGTTAGAAAGACACAATAGTTTTAGTGAGTCTACATTTTGACTAACACCAATTATATCAGTTCAGGTGTGGAATTTTCCACTGCTGTGGTGTCACACTGACACCCAAAACATTTCAAATATTGGAGCTTTGCAGATTTTGCGTTTTCAGATTATGGGTTCTCAACTACACTACTCAGCAATAAAAAGAAGCAGTCTATTGATATGGAGGAACATAGATAAATCTCAACTGCAGTATGCTAAAGAGAAGAAGCAAGATTCAAAACTACATATTGAATCCATCTGTATGTCATTCTGGAGAAGATAAAGCATAGCAACAGAGAATATAACAGTTGTCGGTGGGTGCTGAGGGTTGAAGGAGCAACTGACACCAAGAGAGAAACAGGGGAGGTTTGAGGAAGTGACGGACCTGCTGTATGTCTTTATTGTGATGGCAAGCACATGACAGATTTGTCCAAACTCGTACATCTGTGCACTGAAAAGAATGAAATTTGCTACTAGCAAATTTATAATAACATATTTAATAAAATCCTGAGGCTCAGACTCCGCAAACAACATTTTGTTTTCCCAGCTGAGCTCCCTATAAACTGCAAATTGAAAGTCCTAAAAGCAGACAAAGAAGAGGAACTGACTCTAATTTTGACTTCTGTTTCTGTCAGCATCATCCAGGATTGCTTTTCTCTCTCACTGAAGATTTTTCCAGTTTCCGTACTTTGTCCTCAAACAGCCTTGTTGCACTCCCCTACCACCACCACGGATACCAGCAGCTGTCAACTTTCTTTCTCAGTGGTCTGAGAACCCCCCAACATTTCTGGATTCCAATTACCCACCTCTTCTCTTTGTTCTCCTACACTTTTAAATCACTGCACTACCTCTGTTCTCTTCTGCCTTTTCAGTACTCTGATACATACTCAATCCTTTCTCTGTGTTAAATACTTTTCTATTAAAATTACTAATATGGCTTTTGTCCTGGCTAGAACTTGACTGGGAGAGCTAAAGTCTTTCTAATGTTCTACAAAGTCCTAGATGATCTGTCCTCTTTGCTCTTTAGCTTCATCTCCTAGTTCTCTTCCCCATCACTCACCCTAGGTCTGACTACCAACTTATGGGAAATATGTGTTACACCCTATGTGGCAATGTGGTTATCAGCATCCAGAAAGTGGGAAACTATTGGGTATGTAACCTAGTCTCTCCAACAAACAAGTTGCAAGGGAAAAAAACATGGAAGGGGAATCTTAGGTTAGATGAGCCGTAAGACATCCACTAATAGCAACATGACCCAATATAAGCCTGGGTTTTGTATGTATTTGATTATAACATACAAATATATGATAATTTGGGAATTTGAACCAAGACTGGGTGTGTGATATTAAAGAATTAATAAATTTATATATTTTGGTAGTTAAAGGGGATTTGGGTAATGTTTAAATGAGTCCTTCCCATTCAGAAATATGTGAGAAAATATTTATTGTTGTGTTGATAAAGAACACACTAAGATTAGGAAAGTAGATGGTACCCTGATATACTAAGATTGACTACTGATCATTCCTAAAGCCAAATAGCAGGTACAAGTAATTCATTAAATTAGATGAAGATTAGGTTGCATGTTTAGAAATTTCCATGTGCCTCCAACATCTGAGGGTCTACCACGACAGGCAGATAGGCAAAAGAAAATGGCCCATAGCTCTCCAAAAAACATCAGGAGCCATCGTTAAAAAGTATGAAATATAAGGGTTTCACCTGCAAGACCTAACAACCAGCAATCGAGCCAGTTACTGCTTATTTATATGACCCTGAACTTGACTTCTCCATTTCCTGGGAAGTGAAATTGAATAATATATCTGCTATGGCTTTGTCATGAAGATTAAAAAGGACCAACTTGGAACAACATCATCTGACCCACAGTAAGCTCTCAAAACTATTACTTATCATTAGTAGTAGTACTGTATTACATAGAAAAACAAGTTGAAACAAATGTATCGAAAATATGCTTTTAATCTTGATGAAGTTCACAAATGGCACAATTATGACATTTCCTTAAACAAATTGTACAATCATGTTCTTAGACAACAAGGCACAGCAATACCATGTGTTCCCAGAGGCTGCAAGAGGCAGTGATTTCATGTCTGCTTAAAGTTTGGCAGGGCCGCCATGATTAACAGGATGGCTCTCAGCGAACCAAGTTACTACCAGATAAGCCAGTGGGTGATGCCATCACATCTACTGGACGCTGAATAAAAATGATGCACAATAAGTATGGAATTAGCTTGCTTTGCATTCAGTTTCATTTCTTTCAAGTGACAAAGGCGCTTTTTTCGGTATCTAGTAGGATGCAAACGTGTATTTTCCATGGGGCCTTCTCACCAACTTGTCAGGAAGAATTAATAGAAGTGGTGAGTTCAGCTGCATGGTAACCTGGGATGAGGACAAAAAGAAGAGAGAGGTGGAGAGGAAAGAGGAAAGATGAACAAGATGAGAATGGGTGAAAAGAAGAGGAGCACAAACAGAGCAGAAGGACAAGAAGTGAATATTCACAAATATCACTGAAGAGAACACAAACACAAGTGCCTTTTCACTACGTAGCATTTATGAATTATGGCTAAGCAGTGCACACAGGCTTGTAGGGCAAATAAAGAAAAAGCAATTCAACTGTGACTATACGTATTGGTGGCAATATGATGACAGCACTCTGGTCTGCATCTGCGAACAGTCACCAGGTTGGACCTCTTTCTTCATAGGCTCATTGAGGAGGAGTAGCCCAGGTTAAGTCCTGTAGGCTGCTGTCTTTCTAAATCCAGCAAGCATTTTCTTCATTGCTCTTCTCAGAAAAAAAATGACCCTGTGTCTCTAAACCTATCCTAGAATTGACTTCAAGGTCAGTTCCAGCTCACTACCTCACAAGGAAGAATGGAATTAGAAAGGAGGCGTCAAGAAACTACCAGGGTCAGCAGGTTTCAAAATATAGACCTTAACCTCCAAAACCCTCCCCGGCCATCACACAGTAGCAGGCACTCACCTGCTTCCTGGAACCATTTAGCTGCTCAGGCCTGCAGATCCCTGCGGCGCCGGCCGAAGGCTTTGGAGCCCACATTGGTGGGTATGAAGTTGTTCTTCACCACACCCCCTGACCTGCTCAGCAAGCCTGCCAGCCGCTGGGTCACGCATGTGGCAGTGTTACAGGCTCTCTTCTGGGCAGTGACGCTGGTTTGCAAGGTGGAGAAAGAAGAGAAGGCCTGTCTGTGAGAAGTTGGAGGAGGAATTTTCCCCATGGGACCAACATAAAGAGAATTGCAGTCTTTTCAACACACCACTTAACAATAAGTGTTTCTTCTAAACGCAATTATCAAAGCTGTTAGGGGAAATGGCTGGCAACATCTGTTAGGAGCTCTGCCCAAAACCCATCACCACAACAACAGTTCTGAGCCATGGGGCACAGGCTAAAACCTGAATTTATCGTTCAAGAACGAATGGGTGGCAAGGCCCAGCCCCACACCAAGACACACAAGGGGTATGGAGAAATCACACCCTAGCCATAAACAGTAAGGAAATAACTTTCTATATGAAAGGAAATCCCCTGTAAAGCCTTACCTGGGAGAAGCTCAGAGAATGGGGTTTGCAGCTTCTCCCCAAAGTACTTACCTGCTCCTTACCACACTGTGCTCACCACTGCTCTTAGTGCTCGAGCTAGGTCACAGAGAACACCCACCCACCAGCCCTGTATCCAACTGCCCTGAAGCTAAAGCTACTGCTGAGCATAGGCCCTAGATACTCACAAGTCTTGGATGTGGACCAGAGCAAAGATCACCACAGCTCATGTCCTTTTAGAAAAATAGATTCATTCATCAAATGGTGAAGCACGGATATGCTTATTTTAGCACATTCAAAAGCAGGAACTGGAAATCTCACCATGAAACCCTCTGAGGGTTCTGTGTCTCTCCTCTGGCCTCATCTGAGTTCTGCTCTTTCCTTTTCCATACTTAGGTCCCCAACATTTCAGTCATAAGCAAAGCTACCAATACCACATGCATCGAGTTCATAAGGGAAGCAAGAAAGGAAAACAGAACCCAGTAGAGAGCTCAGTTGGCTTCCGGGGGCACCCCAAGGTGAAGGAGCAGTCCCTCTGCAAGCTGCTGGCCTGCTGCTGGTTCTTCCCCTGCCAGATGTAGGAAGTCCATAGTCAATACCAGAAAAGGCGTGAATCATGCCAGCACATGCCCAGCACACAGGTACTCGGGTTGCCACACCACTCTGTGTCTGTCCAGACAGTACTATGTGCAGGGTCTGTTCCCTGCACAGTCAGCAGACTAGATGAGGCAGAAAACCTTTAGGTGGGGGAGGAGGCACGGGCAGGAGGGCAGCTCACAAATCCTCTATTAGGAGGGATCAGAGGTGCAAAGGCCAGGGCAGTGGTATCCCACCTGTGGCTCAATCCTTCATGCTTGACAGGGTGATTCTCAGGGTGGATACAGGTTGACTCGTGCCTCTACCTGGGTAATGCTAGGACCAGACAAGGGCTGGTGTCTCTCTCAGGGCCAGGGTACACAGGGTGCTGGGAGCAAAAGGGTGCTCTCCCTGGTTCCGTGACAAGACACACATCTCCCTATCTCAGACACTGCCCTGCCTGTCCCCAGCCCCTGCAAGGGCTTTCTCTTAGCCTTGCATATGTGAAATGAAAACTCTGTGCAGGTGAAAGAACAACAGGTGAAATTCCTAAAACCTCCTGAGATATGGAGCCCATCCTCCAGCTTCACACTTACCACTAATTCATCCAGGGCCCTGACATCTCCCCAGTTCTGCAAGACCAACTCCCAGAGCGATCCCACACCTCCTTATTTCCCTTCCCGATAACTTCTGGAAAGCAGTCTTTTTTAACATGTCTAACCTCAGCCCCTGGAGCTTCACCAGGACCTCTGCCTTCCACAAAAGTTGAGAATAGCTAGGCTCCAAGGCATGGTGAACAAGGACAGCTTGCTTTTCCTGCCTCTGTGAGCTTGGTCCTTCTGGATAAGTCAGGGCCAGGTGGGAGCCTTACCTGGAGCCTTCTGTCTCCTGCTCCTGCTCCTGTTCCCGCTCCTGCTCCTGCTTCAGCTCACCGGCCTTCCTCTGCACATAGTCCTGCACCAGTGCGGCCAGCAGGAGGCGCGCTTCCTCCTCACTGAGTGTGGCCAGGTCTGGGCTGCTCTCCAAGTCTGGCCTGGTAGGGGAAAGCAAACTGGGTGTGGACTCTGAGCCCCTGGTGCCCCTCTTCCCAGTGTGAGCAACCAGGCATCCTAGTCCCTGTTTCTTCTCCGGAAGATGTGGTTGCCCCAACTCCCAGTGGACAGGGCATGAGGCCGGTGTCCTCCAGAGGACTTCGATTCACCAAGAGCTACACGTGACTCCTGTCTGACCCAGGAGGCAGTGAGAAAGAAGTTCACGCCTGGCCTCATGCTGTCTCACCTGAAAGGCGCTGCCTGGAGGCTGCCGGCCTGGCACAGGACCAAGATGCTGAAAGCCAGGAAGGGGGAGAATTTCCGGAAGCCCATGACGCCTCTCTGTAAAGGGAGAATGACGTTATCACTGCACCAGAACCACAGACCTAGCTTCTAGTCCTGCCGCCGCCACAACTACCCTGTGATTCAGGCAAGTTTCTTGACTTTCTGGTCCCTCTGTACCTTTATTTGCCAGAAGGCCTACGGTGAATCTCAGGGTACACTTTAGTGCATGTGTGGGTGGAGCAGACACAGTTGCGGGGAAACAGGGGTGGGGGAGGGCGGAGCCTGGTGTAGGACAGGCAGAAGCCACGCGCCCAGGCACACACATACACACCTTTCGCCCTGACCTTTGCAGAACTTAGCGCTGACCCACCCTGCTGTAGACTTGCTTCCTCGTGACGCCCGCCTTTTCACTGAGAAATTTATGACCACTTTATTTTGCAAGCTGTGGCGCCAACGCGTCAGAGGGAGGACACTGGAAGGTAGGTCGGAAAACAGCGCTAATCCCTCAAGTCCACGATTTGCACTTGGAGACATTTGTAAACTGCCAGCTACAGATGTTTAGGACTAGGACTACAGGTGCACAGTTTAGCAGCAGGTGCTGGGTGCCCGCACTTCTAGGTGAACCCGCTGCTCTAAGACGCCCGGGGGCTGGAAGCCTCTGAGGGAAACTCGGGGCTCCACCTTCCCGGGAGCCAACAGTGGACGGCGCAGGACACCCGCAAGCCAGCGTAGCCGGGACTTTGCGCACCCACCCGCCTCAAGACAGGTGCCACAGTCACGCCCACCCGGGCTTTCTCAGCTCCCGTCGGCCCGCGGAGTCCCTCAGGGGCTCGGATTCCACCCTTTTCAGAAAGGAGAAAATACCAGGAGGACCCTAAACGCCTTCACTCCAGCCAAGAAGAGAGTTGGGACCTCCGGGTGCAGGGAGGCTGAAATGGCCGAGGAGGGATGAATGAAAGAGGTTATCCTAGGGGACCGAGTGGGAAGTTCCTCACCTGGTCACGCGAGTTTCAGAACAGCGCGAGCTGTGAGTCCACCCTCGAAGAGCAGGCTCCTGCCTTGAGCTCCTCCCGGCAGCCGCAGGCTCTTATTCCAGTGGTACCCGCGGGGGAGGAGGGTCCGGCTGCTCAGCCAATCCAAAGTGGCCAAGGCCGGCCAATCAGAGGACCGACCGAGTCCTGATTACATCATAGCTCTTTCAACCCAGAGAGTTCTCCCCGGAAGGGACCTTCCGCCCCTTCTTGTCATTTGCACTGAGGTCTTTGCTGGGGAGCTGAAGGGCCCGAAAGAGGGCGTGTATGCCCACTATGTGGGGTCAAGTTGGGGAGAGTGTGTCGTCATCTGCGATGAGCGGCATCTCCTACTGCCAAGCCCATAGAGGAACCCACTCGGGGTCCCAGAACAGTAGTCCTGGGTTCTAAAGGGATCTCCGCTGAAATAGCCGGGGACGAGTGACGGGAGGGAAAGGCGCCTGAAACGTTCTCTTAGAGCCTCCCCACCTGCTCCTGGGACATCTCCCACCCTCAGCTGTGGGTTCGGCATCCTCCTCCCAACCCCGACCTCCCACGGCAGCACCGAGGTCTATCTATACACCTGCCCCGCGCTTCTGGCAAGCTGCTCGGCTGGACCGATCTGGGTCCTAGGCTCTCTCTCTTGCTCTCTGCCTCTCAGTCCCACTTTCCTGAAACTCCTGAGAGATGAGTGCTCAGGGGTCCCGCCCCCACGGCCGGAGGGGAAAGAGGAAGGTCAATCGGCAGCTGCGGGACTTGACGTCCTCTGGGGCAGCGGTCGCGTACCGCGCGTACTGCGGCGCTTCCAGCTCTTCCGGCTGGAGTATGCGAGCGCTGGCGGGTACATTTGGGGCGCAGCTGCCCAGCGTTGCAGAGCAAGACTGAAGCTCACGGAATGGAAATTCCTTCTTTCTCCTTCTGTCCCAAACCGCTTTAGCCAGAATGGGGACCCCCTACCCCCACCTCGCCCCGCCCTCGGCTCAGGAAGAGGGCCCAGCATCGATTCTAAGTGAAAGGGGCGATACTGAGTCAGCCTACATGGATGGATGGACTTTTGCTGCTCATGTTTGGGGAACAAGGGCAGTTTGGGTGTGGGGCGGGAGACGAAGTTCAGGGATTCCCGAGGTTCTTGCTGCTTCTGCCAGTCAGAAAGGAGCTCAAGAGATGTCTGTCTAGGTGCTCCGGGTCATTTTTCCGTGACAGGTTGACCTCTAATACCTGAGCCATCGAAATTCCAGGGAACACCCAAAATTTCCTGACTGCCATCTCGGGTAACTCTCTCCCTCCCGGCTGCAACGGCGAGCACAGAGTGCACCCAGGCCTAGGCAGCCCTTACTTGAGACATCCCGCTAAAGGCTGCAAATAACAGAGGGACGTCTGTGGCCCTCTTTCCAGTTCTGGCCAAGGAGAGGGGCTGCTGACTGGAAAGGCCTAGTCGGGAGGCGCTAGCTACCTCCCTAAGGCTTCTGCCCTTAGCGCGCGCGCACACGCACACGCGCACACACACACACACACACACACACACACACTTCTTTCTGACCACCGCCCCGGTCTTGGAAAACCGACAGAGCTGGTAGCCCAGTAGCTCCTGGCAGGGCTGCTTCTCCACAGAGCTCTGGGCCAGCGTGATAGGGAGACAGGAGCGCACTTAAGAGCCAAGACTTCCCGGATCCCAAACCCTTGGATCGGTCTCCCCACCCACACCCGCAGATGCCTTGCTTAAGAGGTACAGGCAGCTTGGACTCGAAGGAGGGGTGCTGAATGATGCTTGGTCTCTCCGGAAGTTTTTAACTGGAGAGAACTTTGAGCTGTGGGAGCTGGATGCTGGAAAGCCAACCTCAAAGGGACGCCAAAGACAGGTCTGTGACACTAGGACTTTTCCGAAGTATTGGGACAAAGGCTGTACTGGCACCGCAGGACAGTATCCCATGCTGTGCAGGTGCTATACAGAAGCGTCCTTGGCCCCTAAGACCTCACAGAACTATTGTCTGGGATGCAGAAGGTAGAAGTTTCTACAAAGGCTACCAAGACAACAGCAAATGTACCCAGTTGACTACCTTCTTGCCTGTCCTGTGGGACTGATGTATTAGCTCTAAGAATACCTCATTATTTGATCTACTCCTCTTCCTCCACTAGGGTCTGCCTAGTGCATGGTAGACACAACAAATGTTCATTCAGTGAAGGCAGAAAGATCCAGGAGCTGAATGAACAGTTCAGATGGGTTCATCGACCTAAGAAGCACACAGTAAATTGCAGCCAAGTTGAATTGAGATGTAAACCCAGTTTAGATCCATTAAGTTGAAAGACACGTCATTGATCCAAGTGAGCACCTCTTTTTATTTAATAAAAGGAATCTGTGTCTTAGGATAGACTTTCTGGAATCCAATGTAAGAAGAGCTGAAGGAGTTCGCCAAATGAAACAAAACCAAAAATAACCAACCTCAGCCTATCCTTGTATTCCATCTGTGAGTGAACGGGAAGAAAATTCAATAAGACAATTTTCTTCCTAAATTGAGAAAATCGTATCTTGATTTCCCTAGAACTGCTCTGAGCTTCAAGGCATCTCTAATCAGCCTAACTAACATGCAGATTTAGAAAAAATAGTTTCCTAGGAATATCTGTGGCTTTTGAATTTTCTCTTAAACTTTTTGATGCTCACCTTAGTTTACATCATTACTTTTAGATTTTGAAGATAGTATTAAAGTTTTAGAGAGAAACTGGCTCCATGTACCACAGCTTTTGAAGTTTATTTTTATTTATTTTAATGTTCTCTTTTAAAATTTCCCAGAATAATTATTCCACAGAAGAAAGTTTCATTCATTCAACATGTATTTACTGAGGACCTACTGTTTACATGTCAGGCATTGTTCTACAGCACTAAGAATTCACAGAAAATGAAACAAAGCTCTGCCTTCCTAGTGCTTATAGTTCAGTGATAGATTCACCATGAATCCTAGTTACCAGCTCTTCCCTCAAAATATCCTAATATCCAAAATATTCCTATCCTAATCATATTCTCTCATCTACTTCTTTGTCAAATTGATAGATTTACACCATTAAGACCATATAAATGTTATTCTTACCTGAGCCACATAGAGTATTTTGAGTATATTTCCTTGCATACCTAGGCAGGTTTTTTTTTTTTTTTGAGCTAGTATTCTCTCTTTTCGTTTGTTTGATTTTCTTCCTGCCTATCACCTATTTATATGTTTTCTTGGATCTTCTCTGATCCTTGCTGATTATTTACTTCCTAAATTTGTGAAACATATTCACCATTACATTATGAACAGTTTTCCTGGGAAGAATTTTAGATCAAAAATCATCTGCACTCTGAATTTTGAAAGTATTCCTCACTTCATTCATTCTTCCTGTTTCTCTTTCATTGTTTTTGGTATAGACTCTCTAGTTCTCTTTTCTCACCAAATTTCATGAAGATATGCAGTGATGGGAACTATTTTTATTTATTGTTTTTCAGTGCTGAGGTAGTACTTGAAATCTGAAATTTCATGTCCTTCTGTGCAGAGAAATTTTCTTGCTCTGTTTCTTCAATAATTTTGCGTTCTCATTTTGTTGTTATTCAACTTTTTGGGAGGCTTTTCTCCAAAGTAAGGTTTTTAAAATTATTCTTTCATATTTTTAATTTTCAAGAGCTTTTATTTTATTTTCTGAATGTTCCAGAAAACTTCAACCACAGATGCTTAGTAAGTCTTCCCACCTGCCTTCTTTTCCACCCATACAAAAGGGACAAACTTCTCTTTGTTCAGGCAAATAGCTTTGTCATTCTCTGCCGGTGTGGGCTCTTGCTTCAAGTTTGTTAGAAAAAAGAAGCAGAGATGCCAATATCAAAACTGCAGAAGTCCCTTCTAGAGAATATTTTTAGAATTGTTTGTGCCTGCCAAAGAATGAGAAAATCTTGATGGCGCAGACCCAAGCTAGTCACTCTGAGAGGTGGACAGTATCAGAGAAGTGACGTCAGGAATTACTCAGGTTAGATTCCTCTGAGACTATTAAAATTCTCTCTGGCTCAGACTCACAGAAATACAATTGACTCTCCCTGTTTGACAGTACTGTTCCATGCTACAAAGGAGAAAGAAATACACATCCTTAAATCTTCCTTGTAAGGATAATTAGAGTGAAATCTCCATTCAGGGCTCTCGATAAGAGTTTCTGCTAAGGTAAATTCCCAGGTATCTGAAACATATTTTAAATGGAAAACATAGCTTTTAAAAGGCCATTATGGATGGAAATTCAAGATGCACTACATGCTCCTCTTAACCTTCTCAGGATGACTCAGTAATCTCCGTAGAGCGTAGAATGTCAATCACAGTTCTGCGTCCTCAGAAAGCACTGGAGGTGGCCAGGCTGTTTGGCTCCATATCTGTGGACCCCGAGGTGCTATGCTTTTGAGATTTGGCCCATCATTTTCCTTCCTTCCTCTCAGGATCTCAAGATCCTGTTTTTGACTTTAGATGGTCTCTTGTAGTCATTGTTAATGTATCTGTCAATAGGCCTAGACCCAACCTACCTGAATTTTC